TAATTATTTTACCTGATATAAATGCAAAGACTCAGGACTAATTTTGGCTGAATGATAAAATAGATTATAATTTATTTTATAACGAATCTTTTCAATTATATTGGGTGCAACAAAAACTTTAAGAATAGCATTAACATTCATATACATTGTGTTACAAATATTTGGTGGTTTAACATTTGAATTCGATAATTTCTAGCTTATAAAATCATAATAGTAATCTTGACCAGCTATTAAAAAATCGAGAAAATTAAACAATTCACACAGGGTTATATGTCCATGACATGTAATAGCTTTAATATACAAGTTAATCAACTCAACATGGCTAGTTGCTTGTGCTCTAGCTATAAAATGACAGAAGATATATACTCTCATCCAAGAATATTTATCAAAGTATAAAGTCTTATTAAGGTATTGTATTGCTTTTGGGTAATATTCTAATAAATTTTTAAACCAAATCTCAAATACTTGTGAGTCTAGTAAGTTATGAGTTTTGTAAAAATCTTTAATAAATAAATCTCAATCAGTTCCTAATTTATTTTTGAGATTTTTTTGCAAGTTTTGGCTAATATGCCAAATACAATAAAGATGTTGAGTCGAAGACATAATAGTTAAAAGGGCAAGACTTATAGCTAGATCAGCATCTGTTAAAATAGTATATTGATAAAGCCTATCAGTGGCTCTTATTAAAACTTCAAATAACCAAGAATATGATTCGGTTGTTTCATTATCCAATATTGCCTGTGCAATAAGGCGAAATTAATAAATATTGTCTATAGCTATAAATAGTGACAGTGGCATATTATAAATATTTGTCTTTGCAGTGTCATTATGGAGAATAATATCATTATACCAAAGCCAAAGATCGAGTTGATAAGGAGATATCCAAAAAAGATGAGTCAATGCATTAGTATTGGTATCAAATCGCCATTCTACGACCCATCTAGAATCATTATCTTTTTTTTAAGTAACTTAAACAATAATTTAGATGCATCATTGTCTCTAGAAGAATCCATTCTCTTGAATTTTGAAATTGCATTATATAAATTATAATGATAAATTGGGACTTTATGCTTTCCAGAAAGAAGACAATACTGAGTACTAGCATTTAGCTTTTCAATTAAAGTATAATATTCAACTTCTTTTAACATTTCATCAGTTAACCTTCAATCTTTTGAAATAAATCTTGCAGAAATTGAATCAAGTACTGATCAAGTGCATAACCAGTATGAATATTTGTATAGATGAAAATACGATAGCTTTTTAAATTCTTACTCCAGTATATATTAACTTTCTATTTAAAGTCAGTCTTACATGATCTAGATGCTTCTGTTTTATGAGATTTTTTTTCTGTTGGTGATTTTCCAGCATGTTAATATAAAAATATTCTCGAAATTTCATATATGTATACAAATTACATCATAGATTTTATAAATTAAATAAATAATAAGCTTATACTATATATATAGCACCTTAGGGGTTGGTTTAAAATCCCGATAGTAGATTATCATCGTTGGTGTAATAATAATATTGTTATTCTTATATTGTATATTACTGTATCGTATTACATAATACTCTGCACTAGAGTATGAAATGTATAAAATATATTTTACCCAGAATTTAATATTTTGAAAGTTTTATACAATTTGGATAACTTTTTATTAATATAGTTTTGT